TGATCAAAAACAGGAAAAATCCCCCCAAATGATCACATGAAATTAAAAATGTTTCGTTTTGCTAAGTTTTTTGGTGAAAAAATATAGCATTTTTGACCAGCACTAATAGCTACTTAATCTATCTATCATTTGAGATTGATCGCTACGTATCTATATATGTATAGATAAATGCAAGTATGTGTATACAATAAAAGATCAAATCTAAATAAAATTCAGCCGGATCAATGACAGCATTTTGACTCTATAAACACGAACGAACCTCTTTGATTAGCGAAATTTCTGACTTTGCATGAGCCATAAATTATTTTCAGCTGAAGAATTATTTATCACCTTACATATATTTGTTTGGCTTTAGACCGAGAGAGATTGAGGCTTAACAGAATTGTATGTGTAGCTGTGATATAAATATGGACAGACAATCCTACACGGAAATACATAATATATAGACGTACATAGAGGTTTGAAATTAATTCAGCCACTGAAAAAATATTTCTAAATAACGGAGACGCAGAAACGGGAAGGGCTATAGCCAAAATATTGGCACTGCTCTTCCAAATGGGATTCGAATGTTCTCTGATTTGCGTGGATATCTTTTAGATGCACAAATGCTAGATCCTACAGCAAGTATCTCGTACTACGCGAGGAGGGAGTGTTGATTTGTGAAGTTTATAGTCCCTAGGTGAGCAGACAAAGCAAGGAGAAAACGCACATTTCAATGAAATGCTTGCTTCTCTGGCCCAAGGAACGGGGCTCTCCTCCCCAGCTTTACGGATCAGCGTGGGGACAATAAGCCCGAGCTGCGTTTGTGTTTTGCAGGCTCTGGGGCCGCGGGGAGCGGCTCCTGCTCCTCCGTTTCGAGCCTGATAAATGAGCTTTAATGAAAGATTCAACAAATGCCCCGTTTTCTTCCTTTGATTTCAGCAGCGGGGCCAGGATCTATGACTGGGGCGCGGGGATGGGAAACGGGGCTTAAGTTCATCTGAAGGGAAAAGGATTTACATGTGGGGGAGGGAGGACTGTAGGAATTGCAGGTAGGGCAGGCTGGGTATACATGTGTGGGAACCCCAATAGCACTGACACACCTGACGCAATCCCAGGGCATTCCTTTCGGTAAGATGTAGAAGTATGATTTGATTTTATTACGCTGCATTTTCGCCGCGAGCTAACCGTTGGAACTCACTGCCACTTTAATAATAACAATGACTGATCATTGACCGTTGGAACTCACTGCCACTTTAATAACAATAACTTATCATTAACCGTTGGAACTCACAGCCACTTTTTAACCACAACAGTAATTAATAAGTGGCAGTGAATTCCAGAGGTTATTTAAAGGTTTAAATGGAGTGATAGAATAACAATAACTGTATTGTTATGGTTGAAACTCATTGCTGATGTTTTGTTATTCGATTATTTTAACATCAGTGCAATAGTCATTGTTATAATTAATTAGCATTTGATTATTTTTATACTGGATAATTATTTTAGCAGTGTAATATTTTGTTTGTTATTTCTTCTATTCTTATTTTCCTACTGTCATCAGCATCATCAAACTTCATTGTGCTGGTAGGTATCGTTATATTATCTGTTATTGTTTGTTGTTATTTGCCTTTTCTTAGGTTGCATTGTTAGCATTAATGTCCATAGAGTATTATCCTTCATTTATAGAGAGTTTGTGTTTTATCAGTTTCAAGTCTGGTTATTTTTAAGAGCTAGGTATTAGTAAATAATAATAGGATAAAAACAATCCTATTCTAGATTAGATTATTATCCCCCAGCGGTGTGTTTTGGCTTGCACGCTGGTAGTCTTGGATTCCACATTATCTAACGCTATAGATCACCAGGCATTAATATCCAGAATGGTTTTCAGGCCAAAGGATCCTAAGGGGCTTTGCAGATTTTCAAAGCATTCGAACGCCATTTAGTCGCCTTCCGTGTTTTAACCCCTCTCTGTCCGAATCCTCTTGGGCAGTAAACTGAGCGTATACATAGGGGGATTTTCAATAGCGCCCCAAATGCCAATTGTCCGGGGAAAAGACAAGGACACAAAAGCGAGCTACGAATTGGCAGGACAGGAAAGTAGCTTCTCTTCTCTCGAAAGCTTCGTGCGATTGCCAAGAAGCGCGGAACTTTTACAAACTTTTACAACCTCAGTTTTTCCCATTCTTTATTTTCTGCACTGATTTCCCCCCATCTCTTTTTGCCCTGCTCGGCTCCTGAAACGACCCTCTTTGCTGGTGGAGAAAATCATTGTGCGATCCTCCCTTTGCAGTGGGGGGGGGGGGGGGGGAGGCAACGCCCGGGTTCACACAGGCTGCGGTGAAATCCTGACTGCATCGAAGCCGATGGTAAAAACCCCATTGACTCCAAGGGAGCCCGGATTTGACCCCATAAAGCTCCTCATTCCCATAGCCTTCAATAACAGCTTGCTTGCCTGAGCGAGGAAGATACAAGGGAGTTATTACAGGGGATCAAAGGATGGAGCAATGTACATCCAGTCCCTTCCAACAGTTTTCAGTAGAAATTACAGGCAGTGTAACTTCTATAGATGTATAATATTCCTTTCTTATTTCTCCAGGTAAAGCCCGTACCAACACGGCTGGATTCCCAAAGAAGTCCGAACACCCACTCGCTTAACTTTGCTCCCTGTTTCATTGACTTCAATGGAACGATTCGCTAAATCTGACCCTGCGCCGCTGAAGTCAATGAGAACTTTGTGAATGACTGACACGGGGGCCGGGAGTGGGACTGTCCTATAATGGAGAGATTCTGCCCTCGCTGAAGTCAATGGCAAAACTCTCGGTTGATTTCACTGGGATCAGGATTTCACCCGTTGCGGGTAAAATTAAGCACGTGCGTTAAATCTTTGCGCGCAGGCGGCTGGTAGGAGCGCAATCCCTATTAAATTTCGATAATATTTGGCTGCATGATTTACGCAGCTTTGCAAATCGCAGATGATTATCATGATGATAATAAAACCCAGTATGTTCACACATCTATTGTTAAGCACAATTTTGATCATGGTGATACTTAACAGTGGAATAGTAAAGAATTTAGGCTAACCTGGGTGCTGCCCTGGGTCCATAAAACGAAAACTGACCTCTTGATATATTGATCTAGCTCATTTCTCCTTGTTAAATCATAGGCAACATTCAGTCACCAATAGACATGTCTCTCTTTTCCTTTGTTTCCCAATATACCTTTTGCCAAATTTAATATTGCAGCACATTGGGGGCGGAGGGGAACCTTTTGTGTCTATGACCCATTATTTTTTAAATCCAACAAATATGTAAACATTTAGATCGATAGATGAAAAGGAAAGAAAACTGCCACCCAGCGATAGATAAATAGAATTAAATATAAAGATGAAGGAAAAAACTTTTCCAGCATATCAGGAAGGGCTTTTAAAATTATTTTAGACATTTTAGAAAGTGAATTTTAAAACGCACAAATAAAGAAATAAAAAAGAAACATATGCGGAAAGGAGGGATATAATGTGAAGTCAGCACAATATGGAGAAAAAAATACTTTTGCTTCAGTTCCTTCGATTTCTGATCTAGCTGATTACAGAATAAACGCCTGGACTGTATAGAAGCCAAATAGAAAGAGAGGGAAGGAAAGAGAGAAAAGAAAGAAGAATGATCAAGAAATAATATGTAAAATATCTTTCTTTGCTCTATGCAATGCTTTTTCTAAAATGTATATCTTTTAAAAAATGGAGGAAGTTTGATCCCGTGAGGATTATAAAATTTGGTGCTTGCCAATGCTAAGGAGACTCGGCGGAGAACATAGCTCTCTTGGTTTTCCTGGAGTATTAGGGGGAATTTCTGTGAATTGCCAAACAACGTTTATTTTTCAGTTTTAACTTCAAATACTTCCCCTGTTTCTCTGTCACACATCCCCCCCCATCCCCTTTCAAGCTAGAGGTGGAAATTTGCAATTTGTTCGGAGATCCCTTTGAAACCCCGACCTGGCAGGGTTGGCTTCAAGGGGAGATTTGCCTGAGGACTGCAGGATCGACCCTTTAACCGAATGAAATGAGGAGAAAACGGGACAGTTCTACCATGGGGGAGGGATGGGGCAGATCGCACATGTTCATTTGAGCTGCTTATTGCTCTAGAAAGCAATGAGAGAGAAGCGTAGAACCTTTGTATAGTGCCTGAAATACAATCACTTGGCTCCGAGGGAAAACGCGACGAGAAAGAAATAAGTATGGGGGTGGGGGGGGGCATACAAGGAAAGGGGAAAAAAGAAAGAGACGCACAAGAAAGAAATAAAGAACGAAAGAAAGAAACATACAAGGAAGGAGAGAGAGACAAGAAAGAACGAACGAACGGATGACAAGAAAGACAAGGAGACAGAGATAAGAAAGAAACACATACTGTACAAGAAAGAACGAGACAGACCTACAAGAAAGAAAAAATGAGAGGAAGAAACAGCTCAGGAAGGAGAGACAAGAAAGAAGGCAGTAGAAGGAAGGAAAGAAAGAGACATACAAGAAGGAAAGAGAGAGAGAGAGAGAGAGAGAGAGAGAGAGAGAAGGAAGCGCTACTCCGAAGGAAGGGAAGGGGAGGAGGACGGGAACGAAACGAAG